TCGGGGGCTCACAGTTACTGGTATGCCCAAAAGGGGGGGGTGCCTCACAGTACCTGTAAGCCCACGAGGCTCACAGCTACCTGTAGCCCAGGGGCCTCACATTACCTGTAGCCCAGGGGCACTCCACATTACCTGTTAGGCCCAGGGGGCCTCTAAAGTACCTGTAGCCCAGGAGCCTCACAAGTACCTGTAGCCAGGAGCCTCCAAGTACCTGAAGCCTAGGAGCCCTTGTCACAGTACCTGTTGCCCGGAGCCTCACAGATAGACCAGACCCAGATAGACAGACAGACATGTTTATGTAAACGTAAAAAGTGAAATGTGTAAGCAAGAGAGGGCGTCATTGTCACACTGGATGTATGTCAGCAAGTGATTGTACTGTCAGCACAGTTGACTGTACTTGGTCAGCAGTGATGTACTGTCAGCATGAATTGTACTGTCAGCACTGAGTACTGTCAGCACTGATGTACTGTCAGCATGGAAGTTCTGTCAGCATCTGATGTACTGTCGAGCTCAGTGATGTTACTGTCAGCAGGTGAGGAGTGATGTTACTTTGTCAGCACTGATGTACTATGTCAGCACTGATGTATATACTGGTCAGCACTGATGTGACTGTCGTTCAGCAGTGATGTACTGTGCAGCAGTGATGTACTTGTCAGCTAGTGATGTTGACTTGTCAGCAGTGATGAACTGTCAGCAGTGATGATGAACTGGTCAGCAGTGAGCTTGTACTGTCAGCAGTGGATGTTACTGTCAGCATGATGTGAATGTACAGGCAGACTGATGGTAATGTTCAGCACTGATGTGCTGTCAGCCTGATGTTACTGCTCAGCACTGATGTATACTGTCAGCAGACTGATGTTACTGTCAGCAGTGAATGTACTGTCAGCAGTGATTGTATGTCAGCGACTGATTGTTACTGTCAGCAGTGAATTGATGCTTCTCGTTCAGCACTGTTGTTGTCTGTCCAGCTAGTGATGTACTGTCACAGACACTGAGGTACTAGTCAGCACTGAATGTAACTGTCAAGCCTGATGTTCTGTCATGCATGATGTACTGTCAGCATGATTGTACTGTCAGCACTGATCTGTACTGTCACGCATGATCGTACATGTCGCACTGATGTTTACTGTCCAGCACTGATGTACTGTCAGCACTGATGTACTGTCAGCACTGATGTACTGTCAGCACTGATGTACTGTCAGCACTGATGTACTGTCAGCAGTGATGTACTGTCAGCACTGATGTACATGTCCAGCGAGTGATGTACTGTCAGCCAGTTGATGTATGTCAGCAATGAGTGTAACTGTCAGCACGATGTTGTACTGTCAGCCCTGATGTACTGTCAGCTGTGATGTTACTGTCAGCAGTCGATGTACTGTGTTTCAGCAGTGATGTGTACTGTCAGCAGTGAATGTATCTCTGTCAGCCACTGATGTGTACTGTCAGCGACTGATGTACTGTCAGCAGTGATTTACTGTCAGCCAGGTGTGTGTACTCGTTGTCAGCAGTTGATGTACTGTCAGCACTGATGTACTGTCAGCACTGATGTACTGTCAGCAGTGATGTACTGTCAGCAGTGATGTACTGTCAGAGTGATGTACTGGTCTAGCACTTCTGTATGTTAGTGTCAAGCAGTGAAGGTACTGTCAAGAGCACTTGATGTACTGATCAGCGGTGAGTGTGTTACTGTCAGCACTGATGTACTGTCAGCACTGATGTACTGTCAGCAGTGATGTACTGTCAGCAGTGATGTACTGTCAGCAGTGATGTACTGTCAGCAGTGATGTACTTGGTCAGCACGCTCGCTCCTGTACTGTCAGCATTCGATGTCCTCCTGATCAGCAGTGATAGTAACTGTCAGCAGTGAATGTTGTTACTGTCAGCAGTGATGTTCTGTCCCAGCAGTGATGTACTGTCAGCTGTGATGTTTACTGTAAGCACTATGTGCATACTGTCAGCAGTGATTGAGTACTTTGTCAGGCAGTGATGTACTGTCAGGGGCACCGTGATGTTACTGGCGCAGTGATGTACTGTCAGCAGTGATGTACTGTCAGCAGTGATGTACTGTCAGCAGTGATGTACTGTCAGCACGTGATGTACTGTCAGCACTGATGTACTGTCAGCAGTGATGTACTGTCAGCAGTGATGTACTGTCAGCAGTGATGTACTGTCAGCAGTGATGTACTGTCAGCAGAGAGACTGTAACCTGTCAGCAGTTGATTGTGTATACTTGTCAGCAGTGATGTGTGACTGTCAGCAGTGACTGTTACTGTCAGCACAGTGATGTACTCCGTCAGCACTTATGTACTGTCAGGCTACTGATTACTTGTCAGCATGATGTACTTGTCAGCAGTGATGTACTGTCAGCAAGTGATGTACTGTCAGCACTGATGTAACTGTCAGCACTGATTGGTACTGTCAGCAGTTGATGTACGTCAGCCAGTGATGTAGCTGTCAGCAGGAGGTACTGTCAGCTGTGGATGTACTGTCAGCGTGATGTAACTGTCAGCAGTGATGTACTGTCACACTGATGCTTTGTCAGCAGTAGAATGCTTTACCTGTCAGCAGTGATGTTTACTGGTCAGCAGTGATGTGTTTACTGTCAGCAGTAGAATTGTACTGTCAGCAGCTGTATGTACTGTCAGCACTGATGACTGTCAGCACTGATGTACTGTCACAGGGGTTTACTGTCACATGATTTTTACTGCAGCAGATGACGTCAGCGTGATGTACTGTCAGCATGATGTACTGTAAGCTGATGTACGTCAGCGTGTGTATGTCAGCATGGTACGTCAGAGTGATGTACTGTCACAGTGATGATGTCAGCAGTGTTTTTCTGTCAGCAGTGATGTTGCGCAGTGATTTTAAGTCAGCGGGGGGGGTGACATCTCGTACATAAAGCTTCAAGGAAACATTATTATATATTCCCCCCCAAAACTTGCTGGGCCCTAAAATATTTTGTTTATATTTCTAGACAAATTATGTGACGAGGTAGGTGAAAATGTTCCCCTGCCCTTTTTTGTGATATTTGAGTACTATTTCAGTACCTAATGTTGTGTCGAAAAAAGTTGTTATGAAACAAAAATACTACAAATTGTAACAGAACCTTAAAAGTTACCAAAAAAAAAAAAAATAGAAAAAAAAGCATATTGGCAGACTTCTGCAAGTGGCGTGCTCATGTTGCCTCAGGTAAAGAGAAGCATCACCTTTGTGGCCTTATTCCCCTTTTAAGTACTGACTTAGTTTTTTTTTTTTTACACTCCCCTTTAAAAAATTAAATCTTTTTTTAAAAAAAAAAACTTTTTTTTTCTTCAAATTTTCAGAGGGGTTAGGTGAGGAACGTGATCTATGTTTTGGGGCAGTTAAGGGGTTTTCTACAACTCATCCCGTGGTGCATGACATATTAAATAATTCTGCAATGTTTTTTACGTGTGACATAATACTACAACTACTTCATGTTTCTGCTAAAACATTCTTTCACCCCTTTTTGGGTTGGTCCGTATTTGTAGGGTTGATGCCGGGGGGTTTGGGCCCTACCCTAACATTAATTTCACGCCTTCAAATTTAGCGAGAGAAATGGGAGGCCCCCCATTGAAAGAATGGGTCTTGGGTCAGTGGCCAGTAAAAAAAAATCCCGCAGCACACAGCAATATGAAAAAAATACTCCAAAACCCTGTTTTTTTTTTTAAAACAGGATTTGCCGTATTTTTGTATGTTATTTAGGGTTTTATCAGTTTTTTCCCGGGCTCATTTTTTTAGTTTGGGAAAACATATTACAGAAATTGTGATGATTTTGACTGGTTTCACAATGAAAAGTATCTTGAAATTGAGCTCAAAGTAGCAGAAATGTTAAATTTTTGCCAAAGTTCAAAAGTAAACAAATCATGTCAACTGGTGAGTCCAATGTTCTTTCACAAGTGCGCTGATATTATTTATACCATTTCTACACTAATGCAGTAGTCTGCATAACAGTAAATCTTCTATTTTTTTTGTGAGAATAAAAATTCGAAGTGGAAAGCAAAAGAAATGTAACAGAGGCCTGGGGACATGACTAAGGAACAGAAAAAGTGTTATTTTGGTGCCGGGAATGTCTGTCTTGTTCATTCTGGACCCTATTTGGAAATTGGCATGTTTTGAAATTTGTGTGAAATTGGCAAAATTGCCTGTGCTTCAGAATCTCTACAACCACAGTGCTCTAAACACCACCTCCAAGGCTGAGGGACTGATTACCTCATCTTTTGTATATAGTTCTTTGTATTTCTTATTATGTCCAAGAATTTGTATTGATAAAGCCACTGGATGGCGAAATGTCTACAATAAAGATGACCAGATGTTGCACAAGTGTCTTAACTTTCATCTTGTCGGTATTGTATACCTGTCTTGCACAACACTAGTGGATTGTCTAACATGTGCCCATACCCCCACCACCAGTACTATTAGGTACCAGTATGACTTCAAAACATGTTAATACATGTATCTTGGTTATCCAGCAACACAACAGCTGATAGTTTATTCTAATCTAAACTTTTTTTTAAGATTGTTCAGAGACTGTCCCATACTTCCTTGATTTGGTTCCCATACCCCCCAGGGTATGGATACTTCCCACTGTATGGTACTCCCCAGGGTATGGACACCCCCAGGAGTATAGACACACCAGGGGCATGGACACCCCAGGGTATGGACATTCCCAGGGGTATGGACATTCCCAGGGGTATGGACATTCCCAGGGGTATGGTTACCCTCAGAGGAATGGTTACCCCTAGGGGTATAGTTACCCCCAGGGGTATGGACACCCCTAGTTAAGAAGTCATGGGCCAGATAATATAAATAATTTCAAGTACCCTGACTGAATTCTGGAACCTTCCAGATGTGGGCCCTAAATGGGGCCTTAAAATAGTTATGGGTTCTGTAAGGTCACATATTCTATCAAATCTTTCCTCAGGAAAAACTTCAACAATGTATTACCCAGTTATAAGAAATCAATATAGTAGTGTACTTACAAGTAAATATTGGAGACTCTATTAACTGGACCAGCTTGTCCACCTCCACTAAGAAGTCCGTCGTCACTTCAATATCACCGCTGATAAACATTAAGGAAAGTAAGTATTTAGTTTCGATTACATCACTTACAATATACCCTCAATATAATATCTGAAATGACAAAATTCACCGATTAAATTGTACTTGTAACTCCTTTACAGTAGTCCCCCCGTATCCATGGGGGATACGTTCCAAGACCTACCATGGATACCTGAAACTGTAAATAGTAACAAACCCTATATATAAGTCATTCTTTGTTAACTTACATACCTACGATAAAGTTTAATTGATATGTTATGCAAAATAAGTCTAGAATTAGCACTTTTTTACAGCTTCTCATAGGCTCTGAAGAACTGCCAGCATCACTACTTTTGCACTTTGAGGTCATTATTAAGTAAAATTAAGGGTCATTTTCAAGTAATAAGCCATGGATAACTGAAACCATGGATACCAAATCAGTGGATATGGGATTCTACTGTATTTTCAATATTTATTGCAGTATATTCTGTATACTGTGTGAACAGCCTCATTTGTAAATATATTAAGTAACCATGGTAATGTATATCCTGTTTAAGGTCAACTTTTACTAGGATATAGTCTCCCTCCCTCCTGCATAGCCTAACATGAAATTCATGTTACACAGTATTACATGATGTGTACAGTACAGTATGTTAATACTTTTCTGCAATTTTTATATGTTATTCTGATTTAACCCTTTGACTGTCGCAACCCCCAATCCTGAGGTGTCTCCTGGTGTCGCAAAATTTAAAAAAAAAAATATTATTTTTTCTTATGAAATGATAGAGAATCTTTTCCCGATTGTAAAGACACCAAAAAAACGAAATTTGATGAAAAACTGACGGAATTACGCTCTCGCGAAGTTAGCGACCTCGGCGATATTTACAAATCGGCGATTTCGCCCACTTTGAGCCCTACTTTCGGCTAATTCCATTATTCCAGTCAACCAAACTCATAGCTATTTCTTCAGAACTCCACTTTTTCCATCGATTGAGTACAAGAAACTGCCCATTTACCGATTTCAACTACCCAATAACATGGTCAGAAATTTGCAATTTGGCCAATTTCACGAAAATTAAAAAATATGACAATTTCAAAATAAGGACCAGAATGAACAATGCAGACATTCCTGGCTCTAAAATAACATTTTCTTTGTTCATCAGTCATGTCTCCAGGCCCCTCTGATATTACTCTTGCTTTTTATTTTGAAATTTTATTCAAACAAAAAATAGAAGATTTACTGTTATGCAGACTACTGCAATACTGTAATACAGTGGACCCCCAGTTAACGATATTTTTTCACTCCAGAAGTATGTTCAGGTGCCAGTACTGACCGAATTTGTTCCCATAAGGAATATTGTGAAGTAGATTAGTCCATTTCAGACCCCCAAACATACACGTACAAACGCACTTACATAAATACACTTACATAATTGGTCGCATTCGGAGGCGATCGTTATGCGGGGGTCCACTGTAATTGTAAAAATTACATCAACCCATTCATGACTGCATATTAGAATGGCTATTTGGACATTTATTGGACAATGACATCATTTGTTTACTTTTGAACATCAGCAAAAATCAAACATTTCCTGTACTTTGTGCTCCATTTCTAGGTTCTTGTTATAGTACAATTAATCAAAATCACCTCTATTTCTATAATATAGTTTCCATTCTATCAAATGAGACCAAGAAAACGAGAATGCAACCACAAATACTATACGAAAATAGACCACAAATTCGGCATTTTAATTAAAAAAAAAAACGGTCGGAGTTTTTTTTTCTCATTATGCACTGCATGCTCCAGGATTTTTTTTATATGGTGCACACTGACCACACAGACTCAGTCTCTCACATGTGGGCCTACCAGCTTTCTCCTGCCTGATTTGAAGACGCTAGAATTTATGAGCAATATACGTCAAACACGGTACCTCGTAAACGTATATATACGGCCGCGACAGTCAAAGTGTTAAGACAGTTGGACAATGCCTTTATACATCTGTTGCTTCTGTTCACTTAGAATTAAAGAGGTTGAGGCAGGTCCCACCTATACAGCAGGACTTCGTGTAGAATAATATGCCCTTTTAGTCTTAAGTTAGTCTTAAGCTTGTCCAAAATGCTCTACATAACTCTGAGCTTCAATGTGCACTCAAGTGTCACCCATTTATATATAAACAATGTTTCAAGCTGAAATAAACCTGTATTGTAAAGGTTATATTTTACAGATCTCAACCTCAAACAAATTTTAGTTTTAACATGTATATAATAGTTACAACTAGGTAGTAGGTTGATAGACAGCAACCACCCAGGGAGGTACTACCATCCTGTGGTAGTAGGTTGGTAGACAGCAACCACCCAGGGAGGTACTACCGTCCTGTGGTAGTAGGTTGGTAGACAGCAACCACCCAGGGAGGTACTACCATCCTGTGGTAGTAGGCTGGTAGACAACAACCACCCAGGGTGGTACTACCGTCCTGTGGTAGTAGGTTGGTAGACAACAACCACCCAGGGTGGTACTACCGTCCTGTGGTAGTAGGTTGGTAGACAGCAACCACCCAGGGAGGTACTACCGTCCTGTGGTAGTAGGTTCGTAGACAACAACCACCCAGGGAGGTACTACCATCCTGTGGTAGTAGGTTGGTAGACAACAACCACCCAGGGTGGTACTACCGTCCTGTGGTAGTAGGTTGGTAGACAGCAACCACCCAGGGAGGTACTACCGTCCTGTGGTAGTAGGTTGGTAGACAGCAACCACCCAGGGAGGTACTACCATCCTGTGGTAGTATGTTGGTAGACAACAACCGCCCAGGGTGGTACTACCGTCCTGTGGTAGTATGTTGGTAGACAACAACCACCCAGGGAGGTACTACCGTCCTGTGGTAGTAGGTTGGTAGACAGCAACCACCCAGGGTGGTACTACCGTCCTGTGGTAGTAGGTTGGTAGACAACAACCGCCCAGGGAGGTACTACGTCTGTGGTAGTATGTTGGTAGACAACAACCACCAGGGAGGTACTACCGTCCTGTGGTAGTAGGTTGGTAGACAGCAACCACCCAGGGAGGTACTACCATCCTGTGGTAGTATGTTGGTAGACAACAACCACCCAGGGAGGTACTACCATCCTGTGGTAGTATGTTGGTAGACAACAACCGCCCAGGGTGGTACTACCGTCCTGTGGTAGTATGTTGGTAGACAACAACCACCCAGGGAGGTACTACCGTCCTGTGGTAGTAGGTTGGTAGACAGCAACCACCCAGGGTGGTACTACCGTCCTGTGGTAGTAGGTTGGTAGACAACAACCGCCCAGGGAGGTACTACCGTCCTGTGGTAGTAGGTTGGTAGACAACAACCAACCAGGGTGGTACTACCGTCCTGTGGTAGTAGGTTGGTAGACAACAACCACCCAGGGTGGTACTACCATCCTGTGGTAGTATGTTGGTAGACAACAACCACCCAGGGAGGTACTACCATCCTGTGGTAGTAGGTTGGTAGACAACAACCACCCAGGGTGGTACTACCGTCCTGTGGTAGTAGGTTGGTAGACAACAACACCCAGGGTGGTACTACGTCCTGTGGTAGTATGTTGGTAGACAACAACCACCCAGGGAGGTACTACGGTCCAGTGGTAGTAGGTTGGTAGACAACAACCACCCAGGGAGTTACTACCGTCCTGTGGTAGTATGTTGGTAGACAGCAACCACCCAGGGAGGTACTACCGTCCTGTGGTAGTAGGTTGGTAGACAACAACCACCCGGGGTGGTACTACCGTCCTGTGGTAGTATGTTGGTAGACAACAACAACCCAGGGAGGTACTACCATCCTGTGGTAGTAGGTTGGTAGACAACAACCACCCAGGGAGGTACTACCATCCTGTGGTAGTAGGTTGGTAGACAGCAACCACCCAGGGTGGTACTACCGTCCTGTGGTAGGTTGGTAGACAACAACCACCCAGGGAGGTACTACCATCCTGCGGTAGTAGGTTGGTAGACAACAACCACCCAGGGTGGTACTACCGTCCTGTGGTAGTAGGTTGGTAGACAACAACCACCCAGGGTGGTACTACCATCCTGTGGTAGTATGTTGGTAGACAGCAACCACCCAGGGAGGTACTACCGTCCTGTGGTAGTATGTTGGTAGACAGCAACCACCCAGGGTGGTACTACCGTCCTGTGGTAGTAGGTTGGTAAACAGCAACCGCCCAGGGAGGTACTACCGTCCTGTGGTAGTAGGATGGTAAACAGCACCGCCAGGTGGTACTAACCGTCCTGTGGTAGTAGGTTGGTAAACAGCAACCGCCCAGGGAGGTACTACCGTCCTGTGGTAGTAGGTTGGTAAACAGCAGCCGCCCAGGGTGGTACTACCGTCCTGTGGTAGTAGGTTGGTAAACAGCAACCGCCCAGGGAGGTACTACCGTCCTGTGGTAGTAGGTTGGTAAACAGCAACCGCCCAGGGTGGTACTACCATCCTGTGGTAGTAGGTTGGTAAACAGCAGCCGCCCAGGGTGGTACTACCGTCCTGTGGTAGTAGGTTGGTAAACAACAACCACCCAGGGAGGTACTACCGTCCTGTGGTAGTAGGTTGGTAAACAGCAGCCGCCCAGGGTGGTACTACCGTCCTGTGGTAGAGGTTGGTATGACAGCAACCACCCAGGGAGGTACTACCGTCCTGTGGTAGTAGGTTGGTAAACAGCAGCCGCCCAGGGTGGTACTACCGTCCTGTGGTAGTAGGTTGGTAAACAACAACCACCCAGGGAGGTACTACCGTCCTGTGGTAGTAGGTTGGTAAACAGCAGCCGCCCAGGGTGGTACTACCGTCCTGTGGTAGTAGGTTGGTAGACAACAACCACCCAGGGTGGTACTACCGTCCTGTGGTAGTAGGTTGGTAGACAGCAACCACCCAGGGTGGTACTACCGTCCTGTGGTAGTAGGTTGGTAGACAACAACCACCCAGGGAGGTACTACCATCCTGTGGTAGTAGGTTGGTAGACAGCAACCACCCAGGGTGGTACTACCGTCCTGTGGTA